GCTAGAAGCTCCTTGTTTAACCATGCAGGTCTCCTGCCTCCTTTGCTCGATTTCTTTCTCAGGGGGATGCACCGCTCCTGAGCATGGAGGAAGTGACATTTAAACAGCGACCAGCACTCTTGGACCCCCCTGCCTTCAAGAGCCCTGGCCCACGGGATTCCTCCCAGTAGATCCTTGAAGAGGCCAAAGTTAGCCCTCCTGCTAACTTTAGACTGGAAGCTTGATGTCCTGAAACTAAGAAGTGGGGACTCCAAGTTGTCAAGCTAGATTTGAAAATTAATATTTATGAAATCAAGGGAACACTTCAGATTAAATGTTCTCGTGCAAAACAGCAGTCACATCATTACTCCTGTGGCTTGAAAGGTAAATATATATACACTCAATACACACCATTAAGAGACAAGTAGTAACCGAAACTCTTAAAACATCTCCAGCATTAACCTTTCTACCCTTACCAACCTGAGAAGGCTTCCCTAGGACACTGGGAAGTGTGCAGAGTGATGGGAGTCATCACCACTTACAACTTAACAGTATTATTAAATTATATGAATTTATGCTCCTACAGGAGAAACAGCGTGCCTTTGAACAACTCCTTTGATATAAGGTAGATCATACATGCAATGTTTACTTTTGTCAGTCACCACATCATTTTCTACCCAGTTTTGTTTTTACAGTTTACAAAAAAGGGCTAGAAATTAGATTGAACTGAACTGCAAGTTTAAAAACAAGATCTCAGGTTGGGGGCAGGGGTGTCATTCTTGCATGGAGGGCATTGTCTATTATAAACCAAGACCTTCCTAGAAAGGAAGCATTGAGCACGCCATGCAGTACTAAAACAATTACTTTGTTAACATGCAGATCCAGTGGAGCCAAATTTGAGTGTTGTGCTAACAATAGTGCCTGGTATCATTAGACAAAGAATATTTACAGTCAAGGCAGTGTGTTATAAAAGTAACACTGCAAACAAACACAGGGACTTACATTCATCCACAATTAGATTGCATGTAACAACGGAAGGGCCTGTTACTGAAAGCACGGCATCTGAAGCATGCAGACCTGGTTTGGTTACCTCTGGCAAAAGTTAAACAAGAGGTATCCAGCAACTGTGATCTACTTAGTAAACTAAATAGCCTCTGTAAACTACCACATCTGATATAATACTAGATTTTTCTTTTAATGTAAAGGGTGAGATGTTTTTCACGACTGACATCTGGTGACCTATCTATCCAAGTTTTGGCTTTTACAATTATTTGTCTTTCGTTCTCCAACTCTAAAAATGGTTCTTCCCCCACATTGGGCACTACTCAGTGGACACAAGGACATTGCTGAAAATTACTTTTTTATTATATGGCTATTTCTAGCTTTTCCACCCCTTCTGTATTCTTGCATTTCTTAACAGGCATGAACAAACCAGATGCTAGCTGTAACCTTGCTGCATAGGAAAGGCAATACTTCAGAAAACAGGAATCACTTGTTCTGACTTTTCATTACCTATGCTGCACCCACTGAAACAAACATAACACACAAATTAGTTGCAACACAGATCAGTATTGTATGATGTTTGAAATTATAGCTCAAAACCAGGGTAGACCTGGAGTACTGCATCCAGCTCTGGAGCCCCCAACATAAGAAGGACATGGATGTGTTGGAGCGGGTCCAGAGAAGGGCCGCGAAGATGATCAGAGGGCTGGAGCACCTCTCCTACAAGGAAAGGCTGAGGGAGTTGGGGCTGTTCAGCCTGGAGAAGAGAAAGCTCCGGGGTGACCT